TAACTTAATCTGATTGATCTAAGCGAGTCTAAACTTTTGATGGGTAGTATATTTGGAATGTAACCAGTTGCTCCGTACATCGAAAACTGTCGCAGTGTTGTCGGTATTTGCCAAACTGTGTTTCAATTACAAGTTGTGCGAAGGGTATTCGTAAAGAGCGCTCCAAGGGACATGACTCTATGGGGTTAGCTTGAAATAATGTTCGGCCGGTAGAGGGCGTGAGTGTCGATTTAATGCAACGTTGCATTAATCCGTTCGAACTTACAATTTAATATTGTATTCTAAATACGTCATCTTTTTGGAATAAATTGTAAGGTAGCTTCCCTGAGGGCTGATAGTTAGTATTATCAAAGACCATATAATATTAGTATTATTATTGAGAGAATGCATTCTTTATTTTTAGAGAAGCGTGGTGTGATATAGTGCCTTTAAGATTGCCACTTAAAACTGAGGCCGTGTAGAGCACGTCGTTGCTGAGTCAGGTCACGTCTTCATGTATTTCAGTCAGGTCGATGAAACTCACCATTTAGCCAACCTATCTGGCCGACCCATCTACTAAAGTCATCTCGGATGGTGATTGAGTCACAGAGTAAATCGGTACAAATCTGATTAAGTTTAGCTTCCTCCAGGAACATGCGATCTTGCATATCCGAGTCGTCGATAGTGTCGCAATTAGCTATACAGCATTGCGCCCCTTAGTCGTGTCAGGATACGATATAGGTTCTGCGATGGAGATCTAGGATGAGTTCTGTCCGTGCGTCACTTTGTTTTCCCTGTGTTTAGTTACGGGGCAGTGGGGTTAGCCTAGTGGATTAAAGCGTCCGTTCGTCACGCCCAGGGTTCGATTCCCCACACGGGTACAATGTGTGAAGCAAATTTCTGGTGTCCCCCCGCAGCGATATTGCTGAAACATTGCTTAATCGGCGTAAAACCATACTCACTCACTCACATGTGCTTGGCTCAAATACCAGGGCCCTGTTCAACAAAGTCATCATAGCGCAACGGCGATGGTAAACCTACGTAAATATAGCGCCCGTAAGTAGTTGACGGCACTTCGCGAGACCTTAGTACTTCCGTTGATAAACAACGTTTTATGTCAGATGACAGCAAGGAACCGATAATCCTTGCACGAATAACAAATTCCCGATCTAAACAATCATCAAAATAGCCAAAAAGTACGACCGTCAACTGCTGCGACAGCAAAGCATGGTTTTGTACTTAGTTAGGTCTGGTTAAGTCGTAACCGCCTCCTCGGTGTAGTGGTTAGAGCGTCCGCCCGGGGCACTATAAAACCAGCTTAAGTCTGGGCTAGTACAAGCAGCCGCACATACACATACACATACACACGCATGCACGTCGTCATATGAGCGAAATATTCTCAAGCACGACGTTAAACCCAAATTCACCTCACCTGGTAAAGTCGTGTTTGGCGGTCGCGCAATTTAGAACAAGAACTGGTTCTTAAATGTACGCTTGTCACCGGCAATCATGGGCCGGAAGTAAGCTGGGCGCCGGCTCGCATATCGCAAGTTGGCGCACGCAAAGGTATCCGGGAACCAGGTTAGTACAGGAAGTACTCCTCGCGAGACTTACAGGCCATATACCATCACCATTGTGCTGATATTTGCTTGTTGTTTAACGCTGCCCAGTGTTTTCAGACATATGACGTGAGTCGGGACAGGACAGTGATTGACATCATGAGCATCGATCTACAAAACAGATACTGACATACATCAACAAAGCGCAGTCGACAACTAGATATCCTTAGTTCCCTCTTACGACAAGCAGGACGGTAGGGTAGCCTAGTGGTTAAAGCGTTCGCTCGTCACGCCGAAGACCCGGATTCGATTCAACACATGGATACAATGTGTGCAGCCAATTTCTGGCGTCCCCAGCGCCGTGATATTGCAGGAATGTTACTAAAAGCGGCGTAAAACTAAACTTACGACAAGCATGGGTAGCTGCAGACCAGTTTTAACCCGAATATTCACGAGCCTTTGCGAGAAGATCGCTTTATGGGACGGAGCCCGGTCCTTTTTGGGACGGGGTCCAGCACTCTAAGTAACAAGACTTCATCCCCGGATCTTGACTTAGTAAGTAGGACATGTACAGCGAGCAGGGAAGGAAATGTATTTATACATTCGTTGAGCCAGATCATATTCCCATTCTAGAACAAATTGTTGCTAGAGCAGGTGGGCCATCCGTACTTCTTCAAGCCTGACTAGATAAAGTATATAAAAAGCAGACACACTCAGACGCTAAAAGCACGAACCTTCGTGCAAAAACGTCATCAAGAAACGAAATGCAGAAGGGGCGATAACTTTGACCTACTACGTCCTCGCGAGACGTTGATTTAAACGTTATTCCAGCGTCATCGCGTGTCCGATACAACCCGTGTCAAATTATTTATTACGAGAACAAAGATGCACGCACCGAAACAGCAAGTTAATCAGAATAGTCCAAGCTCATTTGGACAGGTATCGATAATTGATATGATAGAGATCGCCATTCTGTGTTTTTCCAACGACCATTACGCATTAAACCACCTAGGAGGGAATGAGAATTGACTTTTAAGAAAGAGATTGCATGTGAAAGAAGTCTGTTTCTATATATCGTCTTCACAATGCGATATGGGGTAGTTAAGTGTTTCTTTTAGTTAATCAAAAAGTTCCCTTAACTTTAATGAATTACAAAAAAATATTTCGGCGAAAAACAATAACATCTCATCAAAGAGTCAACGAATGAACCGGATTGGTATGTACAGCATTGAAAACAACTAACTCGAGGTCTCGTTGAAATCTCGTCATATTGAGCTGTGTCAGGTCAATAGGCCTGTCAAAGTAGAACTTTTGGAATTCCGGGGTAGAGTAGGCCCCGTTTCCCATGTTGATCGTAAGTGCGGAATAAGTGGATTGTATGGTCAGATTTGGGGACATTGCTGGATGGGTGCTCACATAACCCGACAGACTTGAACAAGTCTTAAGGTAATAACTGGTCATTTAAATGATAATTTCTAAAACAGACTGGGGTCCTTACATGTGCTATCCCCTTATCTAGATTGGCCTCTTTAAAAGATAGAATTACTATACATATGTATGAGTTTTGAACTCAGTGCAGCCTTGAAGCAAGGTTAGTAACCCGATGACGCGGATTGTTTATGGTTTCTCTGACCCAGGCTCGATAATGTACTGATGAGTTAAATCGCTTGATTTTTGTAACCTTTTGACTGCGGCGTAAAAGAATTAGGTTTAAATTCATCTTCAGCAATCAATGTTTATCGTTAAAGTTGGCTAAAATGATTAGGTTGTCAACTGACTTGGCTGACACATGTCATCGTATCCCAATTGCGTCGATCGATGCTCATGATGTCAATCACTGGATTACACGGTAAAAATTCGAATATTTACAGACCGCCACCATATGGGTTGAAATTGCTGAAGTGGACTTTAACAACAAACAAAACAAACGAATTAGTCATATATTTGTAAAATCTAGAAATTTCGATAGTAATTATTGCCTCAGAGACCTCTGCAAATCATTCCATGACGTCATCATGCCACATCTTTGCGCCACGTGGTTGATGCTATGAAGCTCCGGTTTGCCTTGTCCGAGCATTATTGTTTAAGAACGCCTCAACATATAGAGCAGGAATATGTTTGGTGAAATGGGGTTTAACGTGGCACTTAAGAATATTTCGTTCATATGACGACGTGCGTGTGTATGTGTGGCTGCTTGTACTAGCCCAGACTTAAACTGAGATATCATGCCGCAGTTAAGCATGAATAACCCAATCAGACACATTATACTGACTCCGAGCCGACCAGTCCTTCTTGTACCCATTAATGCCAAGCACCAGGCAGAAAACAACAAGTACCATATTTTAACGTCTATTGCTATGACGCGGTCGGGGATCCGGGCGGACGCACTAACTATTACAACACGGAGGCGGTCGGCTGGAATATGTAATCCTGGTTGCAGTTGAAAAGCAAATTCACCTAAGTCCATTTTGGATCATATTACGTAACGTAATTTGCCGGTTTGGGTTGATAGGTGATGTTCCACATTTTTAATGACAGCAGGTAATAGATTGATTATGTTTGTTTATGTGACAAAAACCCTATGAATAAAATGTTTGATATGGCAAAACTTTGATATACTTGCAAATTAGCTCTTTTATCAATCATTTGTGAGGTGAACGACTGCAGCGTTTTTAGTGAAGTAATTGGAGAAACTCTAGACACATGTTGTCACGTTGCTAACCTGGACAGGCTCACTGTTACAGTCGATCACTCGCGAGGTGCTGAAACGCTTTAGTTGCATAAGAAAATCAATTTTCTCACAAACAAACCTGATCTTGTATAGTGCGTTTTGGCGCACTGTTCCATGATCCAGTTTTAACACAATATTTTGACAAGTTTTTTGTTTGTTTAACGCCATGTTCAGCAATATTCCAGCAACATGACGACTGTCAGTAATAGGTGAGTTGCGATTTAGAGTAACATTGGCAATATTTAAGCCATATCGTTTGGTCTGTAAATAATCGAGTCTGGACCAGACAATCCAGTGATTGACATCATGAGCATCGATCTACGCAATTGGCTTACGATTGCGTGTGTCAACCAAGTCAGTGAGCCTGATCACAAATCCAGGTAGTCTCCTCTTACGACAAGTGCTGGTTGATGAAGACAGGGTTTCATACACAATACTCGGTATTTAACTCATTCCACGAACACTTCAACAAGTCTAAGGCGGCGGTGGGATAACCTAGTGGTTAAAACGTTAGCTCCTAACGCCGAAGACCCGGGTTTGATTCCCCACATGGGTACACTGTGTGAAGCCCATTTCTGGTGTCCCCCGCCGTAATATTGCTGGAATATTGCTATAAGCGGCGTAAAACTAAACTCATGACCATTACAAGAATGTAGACATCTTGTCGGAACAATCACATGTCGTATGATGTAAAACTAACTCACAGATTCACTCACTGTTTTATCTTTCAGGACACACGATAGAAAACACGTGCGACCGGAACTACAAGGAACTGACTGGACGTTTCGGAGTGATGATGAACCCTGGGTATATTGGCACCACAGACTCTGGGACTCCATCCAGACAATGCTATTGGTTGATCAGGCAACATTCGGGTAACACGGTCAAGGTCACCGTTCACCTCGCGTATAGGAAAGCAGGAATGCCGAACTGTAATACCCAGTTTCTGCAAGTTCGGTATACAGAATGCCGAACTCAGAGCTCCCGGATCAACTCGTACTGCGATTTGAAGAAGGTGAATCAGAAGATCGTATCATGCGGCGATGTTTACATAACGAGTTTCCTGCCTCCTTCCATCGAAGACCTTTCCGACAGGTTTCTGGTTTCATATACAGGTAAGATTTTAATTTTATTGAAATATAGTTGAACTCTTGTGTAATAGTCTTAGGACTTCTATTACAAGGACTTCTGTTAAAAAGGTCCTTTATTTAGAAACCATGTGGTTAGCATGGTAGCCAGAACACAGCCGCCAGGGGAGATCACTCTACTGGTATGTTTTACAGTGATGCTACTCTGTTACAACTATTTATGTCTATAGCGAACCTCTGTTAGTTGAAGTGCATTTCACCACATCTTGCTTTTATGTTGCACTTGGATTTGGTTTGGTAGTTGTTTAACGCCGCACTCAGCAATATTCCAGCTAATTGGCGTCGGTCTGGAAATAATGGATTCTGGACCAGACAATACAGTGATCAACATTATGAGCATCGATCTGTGCAATTTTTATACGATGACATGTGTCAACCAAGTCAGCGAGCCGGGACCACCCGATCCCGCTAGTCGTCTTTTACGATAAGCATGGGATTTTGAAGACCAATTCTAATCCGGATCTTCCCGGGTCTGCAGACCTATCGCAGTCCCAAATAGCTAGTGCTGGCATGAGTAACTTGCGCAGTCATAATGAACTAATACGATCACAAGCAAGTACCAAAGTATACCGCACGTCTAACCTTGTCAGCTGAGATAGTCTGGGGGTCAAGTGATAGACCCGCTCCACGTTGTATGTCAACAATGGTACAATAGCAGTTCCTATATAAAGACGCCGAACCAGTGCGTGGAAGGTCAAGGTCGATAACCCCGACGGTGTTGCTCCAACTATTCAGTTTGATAATCTGTCAACAGACAAGTCTGAAACGATGTATAGATTATATTTGCATCTAGATGAAGTGTCTGTCGCTGTTACGATGTGAATTGATGTGGATATTTCATTGCCATGATAGGAATAAAGTCTTTCCTTTGCTTGTAGTGGGTGGTAGGGTAGTGGTTCAAGCGTTCGCTCGTCACGCCTAAGACCCACCTTCTGTTCCCACAATAGTGGAATTTGTGAAGCCAGATATAGTTGAGGTATTTAGCTGTTGTAAAATTGTTAATGTTGCTATCGCTGACAATCCCAACCACTCCTTAACCCTTCTCGTTAATATCGATGTGTACCTCTGGGTCCGTTTCATAAAAGCGATCTTAGTCGTCTAACATTGAATCGATATCTCTGCTCTGTGAAATACATTGGGGCTACGATTGTCTTAACAAAGGATCCTGATTCTATAACTGTCGTAAGTCTCGGACAGAGTGTCTGTACCTCTGTGTGTGCGTACGAGTGTGTGTGCGTGCGTGCGCGCTTGTCGGTCAAACAGTACTGAGATACCATCCTGTTTCAAATGGATATCGTTCTCAGACAGATTATACCAACTCCGAACCGACCAATTCTTGATCCACTCTGTGAGTGAGTGAGTTTGGTTTTACGCTGCTTTTAGCAATATTCCAGCAATATCACGGTGGAGGACACCAGAAAGAGGCTTCACACATTGTACCCATGCGGGGAATCAAACCCGGGTCTTCGGCATGATAAGCGAGCGCTTTAACCACCAGGCTACCACACCGCCCCTCCACTCACAGAAGAGCGACAGGCGCGGTAACAACTAGTAACACATTTAAACGTCGACGGGCATGACCCGCCTTGGAGTTCGAACCCAAACCTTGCGCTCCCCAGGCAGATCCACTAGACCAGAGAAGGAATTCCAAAGAGAATGGACGCAACACTGTAGGAAAGATAGATGGTGCAAGACAGCGACGCAGCTAATGGCAGCAATAGTAACGGTCGATGTAGTAATCAGCAACGTAGACAGTTGTTAACTTATTTTTATCTCTAACGAGGACAGAGAACCCTGACCATCAATAACAGGTAGATCAGTGTTATTGACATTGCTCATTGATGTACCAAATCCTTTAAAACATCGGCTGTATGACAAAGGGCTCGTTAGAGAATTGACTATATCGCTATACAGCATCGATCATTGAAGATCAAAGGCAAAGGTATACAGTAAGGATGTGATTATATATCATAAATAAATAGATAGATAGATAGATAGATAGATACATATATTCATATAAACATATATATACTATATATAGAGAGAGAAAGAGAGAGTGATTATGTATTTTTACTGAAATTTTCAGGAAGTATACACCTTTACTGAAATCTACACTGATTTATTTTACATATTTACTGAAATCTATCGTCACGATATGGCTGAAATATTGCCGATGTGATGTTAAATCTTAACTCACTCACTCACTACTGAAATCTACACTAATTCATCATACATATTTGCTGAAATCAAGATCTGATACAGGTACAGTTAGCACATGATCACAGTTAGCACATGATCAACAGTTAGCACATCATATTCCCTGGAGAGAAGGCTTCTTATAGACTATGAATATGTGTCAGTTACAGATGGTGGTAAACTTGATTTATATAAACGATACAGACAGAGATGCTTAATGGTGCAGTGAAACACATTACCCAGTCTGGATGATGCAAGTAATACATGGCTATACATCGTCCCCGCGTCGTAGCTGTCATCTGTTTGCTGTCGCAGTGGTTGCTGATGCTGAGGTTTTAGCAGATGTGGTTGGGGGCAGTGAGATAGGAGATGTGTTTGTGCGTTTGTTGTTTAACGCCGCACTGAGCAGTATTCCAGCTATATGACGTCGGTCTGTAAATAGTGGACCAGACAATCCAGTGACTGACATAATGAGCATCGACCTACGTATTTTGGCTACGATGACATGTGTCAACCAAGTCAGCGAGCCTGACCACCCAATGCCGTCGCTCATATCAATAATAAAGACGTTGTATATCCTTAGAGCTCACAATGTTGTTCATGATTTCGGATGTTCGATTAGGATGTTCTATTAGGATGTTCGAACCTTCATTCAACCTGCTGCTCCAAGCAACGAGAGTTACATCAGTTGATTGGACAATATTTATGTTTATATGTTTTGAATGGACAAGTAAGATGTAAATATAAAACGTGGATGCTTGAACTTTCATTCAACTCACCAAGGGTACAATGTGTGAAGCCCATTTCTGGTGTCCCCTGCCGTGATATTGCTGGAATATTGCTAAAAGCGGCGTAAAACTTCACTCACTCACTCGTTGAACTTACCGTTCCAAACAAAACACCTACGTACCTATGATACACACCCACCAAACCCACTACCTACCAAGCTAGCTTCCTTCAAACTCATCTACCCACCCACCTGCCTATCTACCTACTTAATGATTACCTGCCTAACCACCTACATGTGTACACACACACACACACAGAGAGAGCTATGCTGTTGATCACTGGATTGTCTGGCCCAGTCTCGATTATATACACCACTGCCATATAGCTGGAATATTGCTGAGTGCGGTGCACGCACGTTACATACATACATACATACATACGCGCGCACATACATACATACATACATGCATGCATGCATGCATACATACATGCATGCATGCATGCATACATTCCTCGTTATTACCGGGCGCAAAAATGGTTAATCAAATGCCATAAACTGCCTTACCAAGACCAGTGCAAAGCGTCCACGTTACAGTGACGTTAAACGTCATTTGTGGTCGCGACATCTCGCTTGCGTGCCCTAAGTAAGTATTCTATCAAATACACCTCTCTTTATGAGTTTTGCTTTGAGAGGTCTGTTGGACGTATTTATGAGGGACAACTAGACACACAGCGGTTACGGAAAGCCCTTAAGATGTCTGAGTATGATGCTGTTGCTTCTGATATCACGGAAGACCTGATGCTGTATGTCATGCGCCGTTACAAATAGACGTCAAACTACAAAAGCTCCGTTAAATCACGTCTGTAGGTGGCCGGACGTGTCCTTTGGGGCTGCTGTATTGAGGCAGCGCCTTACCATTCCGTGATAATATTGTGACTGAATTAAACTACCTCTGTCAATGAGTTCATTGAATCATTGAAAACGAATACCACGTTCTGAATATTTTTCCTTGGTTAAAATCGGTTGAGGAATGTGTCTGGGATGATGAAGTGTACGAATGGTAATTCCACGAGTTCATTATTAAGAAAACGTTTTGGGCGATCTTTCAAAGAAGCAAAAGAAAATGCGGTTAATCCTGGTACCTTTTTGTTCGCAATGCACGACTGTATTTTAGAATCGCAGTTCATCAAAACGGCTTATGATTATTGATTTATTTCTATTTTCAGTTGTTAATAACACGAACGCCATTAGTTATATCCCCCTTGAAGAGGTCACCACGTGTGGGGCGGACTTACCGGTTATGACGTCATCGACGACGTCCACGCATGGGAAGCACGTGTCCGGCAGGAACTATGGTCCTAAAGATTCACTATTTGATTACACAGATGACCAATCCAAACATGGTAAGCATTTCTACGACTATTTACATGTTACACAGTCTATGAATGCATTCGTCCTCGGGGGCAGTGGGGTAGCCTAGTGATTAAAGCGTTCGCTCATCACGCCGAAGGCCCGGGTTCGATTCCCTACATGGGTACAATGTGGGAATGCCTATTTCTGGTGTCCCCTGCCGTGATATTGCTGGAATATTGCTAAAAGCGTCGTAAAACACAACTCACCCGTACGTCCTCGATGTGTGTGTGTGTGTGTACACACATGTAGGTGGTTAGGCAGGTAATTAATTAAGTAGGTAGATAGGCAGGTGGGTGGGTAGATGAGTTTGAAGGAAGCTAGCTAGGTAGGTAGCGGGGTGGGTGGGTGTGTATCATAGGTACGTAGGTGTTTTGTTTGGAACGGTAAGTTGAACGAGTGAGTGAGTATTGTTTTACGCCGCTTTTAGCAACATTCCAGCAATATCACGGCGGGGTAGACCAGAAATGGGCTTCACACATTGTACCCATGTGGGGAATCGAACCCGGGTCTTAGGCTTGACGAACGAACGCTTTAACCACTAGGCTACCCCACCGGCCAATCAGTAGTCTGGTAGTGGGCGTGCGACGCAGACAATCTCGCCCATTTGTTTACCAGCCAATCAGTAGTCTGGACCATCGTCCAGTGATCGCTGAAATACATTTATATATTTCATTTTTCACATGTTTGTTTGTTTGCCGCACTCAGCAATATTACATCTATATGATCCCAAAAATAATAGAGTCTGGCCCAGACAATAGAGAGATTGACATCATAAGCGTACACAGTTTGGATGCGATGACAAGCATCAATCAAATTAGCGATCCTGACTAACCGATCCCGTTAGTCGTCTCTTACCTCACTGCTAAAGATTCGAACCTAGATCTCAAGGACTGAAATAAATTTAACTAATATGAACGTTTGGGCGAAATTTGTTTAATTGGTTGACATATAGTCTATCCAAGATTTGTTCAGACTTTTCCAGGCCCCGTCATTTCATGAACCCGGTTTAGAATTGGTCTCAGCAACCCATGCTTGTCCCCCGTAAAGATCCGCGTCAGAATTGGTCTCAGCAACCCATGCTTGTCCCCCGTGAAGATCCGCGTTAGAATTGGTCTTCAGCAACCCATGCTTGTCCCCCGTTAAGATCCGCGTTAGAATTGGTCTTCAGCAACCCATGCTTGTCCCCTGAAGATCCGCGTGAACTTCAGCAACCCATGCTTGTCCCCCGTGAAGATCCGCGTTAGAATTGGTCTTCAGCAACCCATGCTTGTCGTAAGAGACGACTAATGGGATCGGGTGGTCAGTCTCGCTGACTTGGTTGACACATGTCATCGTATCCCATTTACGTAGAGTGATGCTCTTGATGTTGATCACTGGATTGTCTGGTCCATACTTGATTATTTACACACCGCCGCCATATAGCTGGAATATTGCTGAGTGCGGCGTAACACAACAAACAAAAACCTGTCATGAATGAATGCACTCGATACATGGTTTGAAACAAAGAGAATACGATTTCACATTGCATATACTTTTGAAACAATACCACAACGGACAGCACGAGAATTAGGCTTCACACACTGTATCCACGTGGTAAAATCGAACCCGGATCTTTGCGAACGCTTGAACCACAAGACTAATTATCTAGTCCCCTGTGTTAGTAATATTACCATTAGCGAAATATGGGATAACATTTAAACAAAATTGAGAACAATTTCAACGACAATTATCTCAATGCAGGGAAACTGTTAACATTTCGTTTATTTCACTCTCAAATTGTTGTAAACGAGCGTTTTTCTAACCAATTTGAAAACCTGTTCTGTGTCAATATTGAGCGGAGGCTACAGCAGGCAAGGTGTACAATGCTTGCTCCCAAGCCACCGCTTCGTGAAATAAATATGAATGAGTTCAATTCCCATTCTAAATTGTAAATAGTTTTGCAATCACAATGAGTTTTGAAAAGCTGTACCAAGAGGTTTTTCTTTGAACTGAATTTTCACACAAACAGCTGGGAATTGGCTTTGGGCAGTTACTATGGTTACAGTCTAGATTTATAAACATAACATACATATATATGTTATACATAATGGTGGCGATGGGGTAGCCAAGTGGTTAAAGCTTTCGCTCGTCACGCCAAAGACCCGGTGTGAAACCAGTTTCTCGTGTCTTCCGCCGTGATATTGCTGGAATATTGCTAAAAGCGGTGTAAAACTCAACTCACTCACACTTATGCATAGAGTAAAATATCAGCCTAGGGTAGTATACAATTGATTTTTTTAAAATAGCTCATGGTTATTACCTATCTTGCAGATAAACTTTGTGATCACAAATATTGTGAGTTAGGTACTCTGAATGGTGTGATGGTTAAAGCGTTCGCTCGGTTCATTTACACAAGTTCATTTCTGGTGTCTAAAATTTTACTTAAACAGCGTAAAACCGACTCACACACTCTCACTCACTGAATTGCATTTGCATGGGTATTAGTGAGTGAGTTTAGTTTTACGCCACACTCAGTCCTATTCCAGTTATATGGCGGCAGTCTGTTAATAATGATGTCTAGACCAGTCAATCCAATGATCAACAGCATGAGCATCGATCTGCGCAATTTGGAACCGATGACATTTGTCAACCAAGTCAGCGAGCCTGACCACCCGATCCCGTTAGTCGCCTCTTACGACAAGCATGGGTTACTGAAGATCAATATTCTAACCCGGACCTTCACGGGTCAAATGAGTTGGAACAATCTTGTCATGCGGTGTGGGCTGCATGGACGGTGAGGGACATGCTAGACGTTTGAAAACTAAATATGACAGCAAGTGCAGGGAGGATCTTTTTGGGGCCTAATCTGGGAAGTCGGGATAACGAGATTTTACATTGTGTTCAAATGTCGCATTGTCCCGTTTTCGACTTTAAACAAATAAATACTGTGAATGCTCGAGAATGCGGAAACGGGAGAGTTCTCGTGATCTTGGATTATGACATATTTAGCTTGTTGGCAAAGGTCGAGATTCGAGAGTTCAAGAACGCTAGAAAGGCCCTTAAAGTATTTGACGTACATAAATGTTCAGACTGATACAAACATCAGTGTGATTCAAATTATCAATGTTTTTAATCTGCTGCGAGCTTATATTTGGGACTACACTTTCTTAGTAAATTACAGATTCTAGTACTTTTGTTGGGTTGAGTCCCATACGGGATTCGAACCCACACCCTCAGAGACAGGCACCTAATCGCCAGCACATTTAGTCAGCCGCCTAAACCGCTCAGCCACCGCGACTTCTGTACTGTACGAAGAGTGAGTGAGTTAAGATTTTAAGTTACATCGGCAATATTTCAGCCATATCGTGACTATTGTACGAAGAGAGTGTAATCCCAAATATAACATGTTACATATGTTACATTTGACCACTTTTTAAATGACATTGTGTAATCATGCTGCGAGCTTGTTTACTGTGTAGAAGCATGATTCTGTTATGTTTTCCTTGTTAGCTTAACCTGTGTAATTTACTGTCTGATCAACGACAAAAGGTGAGCTACAGACTATTTTCTTTCTCTTCCAGACACAACAGAGTCAGAAGACTCTGACCTATCCGTCATCCCACTCAGATTAAGTAAGTATGTGGTCTTGATCTCACACACGTGTATCCATTTTTACACATACTATAATCCATATCCTTTATAGCAGTCTTCGACCCATTCGTAACTACTCGCCTCTTTCCGTGACCTACAAGAAGACTCTTGTATAGTACGCCATTATTGCCAAGAATCGTGGCAAACCAATCACATCGCCCGTAGTAAAATGTGAAATGAGTCAAATAGTTTCTTTGCGATTATCGATTTTCATTATTATTTCCGTTATTATAAAATTATCTTGCTACTGATATTTGTGAACGACATCAGAAACTTACTTAAAGTGACTTTCGTGTTGTATTATAATTTCTAGGAGTAGCCATGTTTGGAAATTCAGAGTTATCTTTCTTTGGAAATAGTTCAAGACTATTTTCATCCACGTGCCCGTTTGCGCTTAGACAAGGCCCAGTCATGAACGTGGCCACGAGAGGGGTCGCCGTCCGGCTTGCCGAATGACACGAGTAGTGGTGCTCTACCATCCCCGTGGCCTAGTTGTGAAAGCTAGCGCTGTTGATGGAATCGGTACCATCCTTTGACTAGCAGTACAACCAGCAATAGACTGGACAACTTCTCTCAGTCACTCAGTCACTCACTCACTCACTCACACACACTGCATGCTCACACTGCACACCAACGCTGCACACTCACACATACACATTTACATGAGAGGGAGTGTTCATTTTTCATGTATATGTTTTCTGAAATATTCCATTAAACAAGGAAGAAACACGTTTGGATAAAGTTAATAACCCCAAACTGTATATACTTACCTATTACCTACTGACCGTTTTAGCAGCCTTCTTCACAACCAAAAACACCTTTACACCAAATTTCAAGCTGGAACCAAACTTTAGATTTAACGAGGACGTCCGATGAATACTAAACTTGCACTATGTTGCTTTCATCGCAAACCTTCCACGGGATTCGAACACTGTACCAGTTATATACCACACTGCCATGGTAAGCTGGGCCCCGTCTCGCATATCGCAAGATGGCGCGCGCACAGGGAGCTGGGAACCAGCTTAACTTTTATGGTATAGCTGATCAACACCAATAACCGCCTTGGTTACGTGACGTCATAGGTTACGTGATATCGTCAAAATGAGCAGTGACGTAGTTAGCTGGACGTTAAGAAGCGATACTGAACATTTGTGCCAAAAATCAACACGTGTTTTGTTTTAAAATCTTTAGCCACATTTGAAATATAACACTCAGCCGGCTCTGGTGTATACATGGACCAAGGTAGGCGTTGCAGCGCGCGTGTACGCAATTGCTATTCGACGTACTTACGTCCGCGTAACTTAATTGTGGAAACATATCGTGGTAAACCTTTCATTTGTTGTCAGTAAAGTAATTTCCCAGAAGGCAACTTCCAAAATGGCTGCACTTTATCATTGGCAGAAACAAGGGTAAATTACGTGTCAAGAAAGGAAAGTTTCTGAATTTATAAAGGGGATTATTGGATTGTTGGCCTGGTAGGCTGACGGGTTTTTCAAAGTGAATGATAGCGCCGCTTCATCACAAAGACACTTGAGGTCTTCTTCCCTGCACCGAGATGCATTATGGGATAGAAGCGTAAAGTGAACAGCTACAGCATCTACAGATATTCACGACAGTTTATGTCAGAATACTCAAAATTGAAGATGTCGTTTTGAACACTTTAGGAAACGAGTAAGTATATAACAAGGTGGCGTTCGATCTTAGAAATATTCCCGTCCGTTGGGCTTTCAGAGTAAAGTGCATCAAATTATGCTCGAGCTCATTAGATATAGAGGGGCGGGGGTAGCCTAGTGGGCAAAGCGTGCGCTCGTCACGCCGAAGACCCGGGTTCGATTCCCCACATCGGTACAATGTGTGAAGCCCATTTTCTGGTTCCCTCGCCGTGATATTGCTGAAATATTGATAAAAGGGCATAAAACTAAATTCATTCACCTCAATTAGCGTCCGTTGCGGCGTAAAGCTCAACTCACTCACTCAATCAATCAATCACTCACATACTCTATTGTCCAATACATCAGTTATCAAATGCATATATTATGTCACGATATTCGTGACTCAAGGTTTACTTTGTCTTTATGTAATAAATTTAACAAATTTGATTATCTTAAATAAAAACTCCCATGGTACAAGTTAAAAGTTGTATCACAAAACGCCAGACAAATCGATAAATGATATCGATAATATTACTCACATAGTAGTGTTTCGATTCATAGTTCTTGGGGGAATATATAATACAAATTCATTATCTTTTCTTTTAGTAAGCGGAATCGGTGAATGATTTAATGTGTCGAAGGTCACGTGATTATTGGTGAAAACAGGGAAGCACTTTGGCGGACGTTGACAGAATCTCATCAAATCTGGTTTAGCTGGAATGATTAATCATAAGAGAGTGGAAAGTCACTTTGACCATTTGTCAAACGTGAGTGATCGAGCGTAAAATGACGGCGACAAAAACGTTTTGCTGGAGAACTGGCCTAAATATTGTTAAACAAACACAGTCAGATTTAATTTTTTTTAAGGTGAAACACTGAGGTTAAGAGATGGCTATTTAATCTTTAAGAAAACAAAAAATATTTTTTCCCGTTTTATCAAATCTTTGATGGATGTACTGAAAAAATGTTGTTGCCAAACAAATTGGTTCGGCTTGTTCTGTCAGAGTGAGTGAGTGAGTTTAGTTTTACGCCGCATTTGGCAATATTCCAGAAATATCACGGTTGGGGTCACCAGAAATGGGCTTCACACATTGTACCCATAAGGGGAATTGAACCCGGGCCATCGGTGTGATGAGTGAACGCCTTAACCACTTGGCTACCCCACCGCCCCTTGTTCTGTCAGAGAAAAGGACTGAAAAGATATACGAAACAAATGTAACATACTTTTATAGAACAAGTATATTCAGTAGAGTCCCTATTTCTCGAGCGTATTCATACAATCGGAGCACACCACAAGCAAATGAATGCAACTACCTCGAACTGTTTGTGTCATGTTTTATAAATCTATTTTGGAACCATGGGAGACTTCCAGTCTGCATGAACGTTAACTGAACAGACATACCTTAGGGTGTCAAACTGGTTTCGCCAACGCAGTGACCTTATATATTCAGACACGTAAGCTCAATCTGACCGAGGCGTAACGGAAACAAATCACCGCTTTGTAGTGGAGTGAGAGAGGGAGATAGGAGTTGGGCCACTCCAGACCACACCGTGGAAGCCGCCGTTTCTGAGTCGGTTAAGCTTCTAACTTTGTGTGCTGGCGATTTGTTGCCTGACTCTGAGGGTGTGGGTTCGAATCCCGGATGGGACTCAACCCAACAAAAGTAGTAGAATCTGTAATCCCAAATATAACACATGTTACCAGAATTTGGTCTTGCACTGTAGGCAAGCGTAGGAGTGGGTGAGTGAGTGAGTTTTACGCCGTTTTTAGAAATATTCAAGCAATATTAAGGTGGGGGACACAAGAAATGGGTTCACACATTGTACCCATGTGGGGAACTGAACACGCGTCTTAGGCGTGACGAGCTAACGCTTTAACCACTAGGCTAAACCCCCTGTTAATGATATGACGAGGCTGAGCTTCAAACGCTAGGCTACCCAATATTCCGTCCGCACGTCCCAGGCCCTTGATGTGTATATCTTGTCATTATTCAACTGCATCTATTATGTAAGTTCCCCTCGGTCCGTTGTGGAAATGAAGTGTAAATCTCATCGAAACTAATTCAATAACGAATATATTTCTTTCGGAATAGAATAACAGCCCTTGTCATGATTATATATATTATGCAACAGTGTTTGGGGACAAGTTGCAGATTAGGAAAAGCAAATTGGTTTAAAATGTTAAGTGTACAAGCGCCTCGATCTCTCCGTTATGTACTAAAAATAATATCTTTCAAGGCCATGTGACAGCTATAAGTTAGAGTTATCCCCCCTTGGGACATAACGTCAATTTGCCGTATGAAAGTGCTCTTTAAAACTCATTAACAGAACACATCGTCGCCAATACACGTCATACGCGAGGGAATACGAGACTTGGTGGGGAAACTTGACATGATATTGTTTTTACCACTCGCCACCTTACTGCATGGCCATCAAATCTCGTCACATCTCGCGTGGGGAATATGCGCGATGATCATGCGCAGACGTGCCAGGATACTGTCGGGTCAGCTGAGAAAGGTTCCTTCTGGTCTGACATGAGAGTATACGCCTTCTATGGGGGTAATTGCTTCGTGGCTGGCGGGGTTGTCATAGCTGTGTCACGTGTTCCCGTTACAATCTGCGTCGGAACGGTGGGGTAGCCGAGTGGTTAAAGCGTTCGCTCGTCATGCCGAAGACCCGGGTTCGATTCCCCACATCGGTACAATGTGTGAAGGCCATTTCTGGTGCCCCCGCCGTGATATTGCTGGAATATTGCTAAAAGCGGCGTAAAACTAAATTCACTCACCTCAGTTAGAGTCTGTTTCTAGAGTTTTGAATCGTTTTCGAACACAGTATAGTTGAGTGCATTTATAGGATGTTGTCATACGACCATTCGTCGACTGTCAAGTGAGAGATTGAGTGAGTTTGGTTTTACCCCGCTTTTAGCAACATTCCAGTAATATCACGGCTGGGGACACCAGCAAGTCAAAACACTGATTACATAAAAGTCTCGTTTCCTGCTGACTGGGTTCCGTCCAACCTATTGCGCAACTTAGTACAATAACCAGTCCACAATTTTGTTTTGGACTGTTCTATTTTTTCGTAGGTAAAGTAGGTTGTATTTAAAAACAACAAGAAATCAAATTATTTCAAACACGCACCTTCTAATCCTCTGTCGTACAGCGTGCTCTGACGGCTTTGAAAAATGGCGTGGAAATCTCAAAACGAGGCTCAGCCGCTTGAAAGATTTGGCGGTCTTGTACGACCTTGATATTGTATCAAATCACATTGTGCGTTACAAAAATACACTTAATAAGCGCAAAGAACACATAACAGGTGTAACCAGTCAG